TTAAGGCTGAGCATTAGCAGGTGTAAATTACTTTAGTTCTCTGATAATCCACATCAATTAATAATATATAGAGGAAAAATCCTCAAGCTCAATAATTAACTCTGTCTAATCGGATGATCTTAGTCTCCAACTCAAGCTCTACGTTAAATATTAAGTTAGACACCCCCGTTTTCTATCTTTGTTTGTTTACTTGCTTCTTCAAAACACGTTTATTATTCACGATGAAATCCTCGGCCGGCCCTGAATCGAGTTCTCTGCGAAATTCAGCTGTAAATTTATTTTACATCGCGGAAACAATATGGCAGTATAATAATGGTGGCAGTTCGGTCATAATTTTTTCCAAGCGAAAGTTTTTCAATTTTAAAAATAAGTTCAGTTCTTTCTGACGTAGATAAAGTAACTCGGTACCAAGGAGGAGAAAAAGATGAATAAATGTAGTATAAATATTGTAGTTGTTGGGGCAAACTTAATGACAAACAAGAAATGTACAGAGGTTTTAATAACCTACATTCTTGAAGGGGAAGTGGTTCATTAACAGTTAGTATGGAGGATAATGTGGCGACATTGCACCAGTACTTCAGGGGTAGTCCCATATAAATTTGGTTAAAATATAATAATTGGCTCCATGAGAAAATCTTCACTCTTCATTTTTTATGTATGTTTATCGATAATGCTTTACCACCTTGTCCGATTTATATGATTCTTTTTTTGTTAGTAAGTGGGTATCTTAGGGGTGGTCCTATATAAATTTGGTTAAGATGTGGCAATGGCGTCTGTATTACTTCTATACTATCGTCAGCAGATATGATAGAAGTAATACAGACCATGGTGGAACTCTAATTTTATCCTTAGACAAGGACTTTTCTGCTGTATCTAAATACGACTTTCTACAAGCTGAAAATTTCTTCGAATTTTCCATTGTAAACAACAAAAACATTGATTTGTTTATTATTTGTATTTAAAGAACACCTAAATCAAATGTTCACCTCTTTCTAGAGAATCTTCTTAATCTACTTGACGCATTGCCTATAAAAAGTAAGAAAATTTTATGCGGCGATTTTAATATTGACTTTGCTAATGTATGTGCTACTCAAAAGTCTTTGATCAATATTTTTGAATCATTCAGTCTCACTATGCACGTAAATTCTCCAACTTGAATCACAGAAACAACATCTACAATTATAGATTACGTAGTCTCTGATTTTAAACCCGTTGATGTAGAGCACCAAGTAATTAGCTGAGGTCTCTCAGACCACGAAGCAGTATTTGCCAAATTTTTGATACCCCGTACAGCTCCAAAAAAAGTCCGTCAGTTAGGTAGAATTTTCTCTAAGCATAATTTCAAAAATTTCTATAATTTATGTCTAACTACTGATTGGAATGGTCTTTCTGAAGATATTGACTCTAAATTTTTAGACTTCTTAAATAAAATAATTATGTGTTTCAATACAGCTTTCCCCCTTCGCCCCATTAAAACTAAATGTCATAAATCTTGGACAACTAAAGGAATAAGAACATCATCTAAAAATATGAGGTCACTCATGTATATTAAAAAGTACACAGATAATCCCCTAATATTAAACTATATCAACAACTACAGAATATTGTATCGGATAATCACCAAATCTGCTAAGAAAAACTATTACAAAAATCGCATCGCAAGAGCTAAAAACTCCTCCAAAGAAACCTGGTCTATAATAAATAACTTAAGGAATAAAACCCGTTCTTCAAACAGTGTAAATCCTAGCCCAGATGAACTAAACAATTATTTCGTAAATGTAAGTAAAAATATCAAATCTAACATAGCTCCGAGTCAGGATGCTCTCTCCTTCCTCCTACCTACTAAAAGGATCACTGAAAGTTTCTTCCTAAGACTAGTAGACAAGCATGAACTAGTGCAAACCATAAACAACATCCAAAATAAATTTTCCTGTGGAATTGATGGCCTGTCCACCAAAATATTTCTAAATATAACGGATGTAGTAATCAACATTTTAACTTCACTGATTAATGAATCCTTTGAAATTGGTCTCTTTCCTAACTGTCTAAAAACAGCTATAATAATCCCACTTCATAGAGGTGGCGACAAAACCAAAACCTGTAACTATAGACCTATCGCGTTATTGCCTACCTTATCGAAGATAGTAGAACGGCTAATGAAAAACCGTCTTTTGCCCTTTCTTTTCAAGCATAACATCCTCACAGCTCATCAGTATGGCTTTCTACCTAAAAAATGCACTAGCGACGCAATGTTTTCCGTTCTTAATGAAATATACACATCACTTAATGATAAACTTTTCACCGCTTCAGTATTTTGTGACTTCGCAAAGGCCTTAGATTGTGTAAATCATGATATTTTAATTAATAAGTTACAAATTTATGGCATACGGGGTTCTCCTTTACAATGGTTTAAAACTTACCTAGAAAATAGAAATCAACAGGTGCGGGCGAATGGTGAGGATTCTACAAATCTAGCAATAAGCAGTGGAGTACCTCAAGGATCAGTATTAGGTCCAATTTTGTTTTTAATATTCATCAACGACATCACAGACTTAAGAATAAGTGGTAGAATTACTTTATTTGCTGATGACACCAGTGTAACCTGGAATAATTCTAACATGCAGACATTACAATCTATCATAAGTGAAGATCTAGTGATTATTAAGTCCTGGTCTGATTCGAATGGACTTTGTTTCAACACCAGTAAAACTGTAGCATTGTCTTACAGAGGTACTTTACAACCTATAACTTTAAACAATAATCTGATCCAAACGGTGACTTCAATCAAGTTTTTAGGTCTTTATATAGACGATTCTCTAAAATGGTCTGCTCATATAGATATCTTAGAAAAAAAATTATCCTCCGCATGTTTTGCCATTAAATCGGTTTCTAAAGAGCTGACTCCTTCTAATGCATTAATAACCTACTTTTCCTTATTCGAATCTCACCTTCGCTATGGTTTACCTTTCTGGGGTTCTTGTAGCTTATACCTTTTCGAATCTATTTTTAAACTGCAAAAAAGAGCAATCCGCTATGTATTTGGTTTAAGTAGTAGGACACATTGCGAAAATTACTTCAAAAATTTCAAAATTCTAACCCTTCCTGCTCTATTTATTTTCGAATCCGTCTGCTTAGTTCGCAAGCACATTCAAAATTTATCCGAAAGACCGACTCGTAGATATCCTACAAGAAATTTAGAGACTGATGTTTATTTAACAATGCCCACTTCTGACCTATTAAAACATTCCATTACCTACAATGCCAAAAAATTGTATAATAACCTTCCGATGCAATTAAAATCTATAAATACATACGATAAGTTCCGAAGACTGGCTAAAGCTTTTCTTCTAGAAAGACCATATTACACAGTAGCAGAATTTTATAACGTACCTTAGACATTTGAGTTCCACATACAATGGCATTAATTAAATAATTAAATATTAAAGTTCAAATTTAAATTTAAAAATTAAATTAGAATAATTATAATGACGGATATTGCATATCCATTGCAATTGTTATTCCTATTTTGTCTGTTTGTTTCTGTTTGTTTTTTCTGCTGTTTAGTTATTTTTATAATATGTTTAGTATTTAAGTTACACGCTTGGTCTATAAAATTTTTGTAAATTTTTTTACGACAATAAAGCATATCTCTCTCTCTCTCTCTCTCTACACGTTTTTAAAGTCGGTTTTTTTAAATTTTTAATTTCTAATACATGTTTTATGCCTATTGTGGTTGAGTAGGAGTACCTTCAGCTAGACTTCGCCACAGCTGGCATGTGTAATTTAATTTATAACTGTTTTTTCTTGTATTGTATTTCTTAAATATTTTGAAATAAAGTCGTCAATTATTATTATTATTATTATTAATATTATTATTTACTAAGATCCTGATATGTTTAAATTTATTGATATTTTAAAAATTAGAAACTTGTAAAAATATCCAAGAAGAGATATTTTAAAACACAAGCCCATCTTATATACATATGTAAATTCTCTTCTCGTTCAGGATCACGTATTTAAATTTTTATCGACATTTTCTGGGATTCGTCTCTTCTTTTATTTATCATCTTTATCTAAATAACGTTTCTTTTTCTCGAATTTTGAAACTGAACTTTTGTTTTTTGCCCAAATACGGTCGCGGTGAAAAGTTGACGTAAGCAGTTACTCTAAGAGTTTGAATATCATTTTTTTGTTAGTATGTATAAGGTTGATCACAGTATTTGTTTGTGCGACTGTAGTTATTTTACATATGTGTTAGCGTATGTAAAATGTTGGTTTTTTCTTTCACTGTTTTCTTAAAATTTACTATTTCGGTTGCTTTTTACTTTCCGTCAATAGGTATAATAATATTTTTGAGATATTTTACTTTATAGCAACATTTATATTGTAAATAAAAGGGCATTTAATTGATCTAATGTCCATGGCATTTTCCAGAATTCCTTTAGCTATTTTTGACTCTAGTTAAGACATATTAAGTATTATATTTTATCTCTGTCAATTCAGTTTCCAATTATAGAGGGGTGGGTGGCTCAGTATATACCACTCCAAATGATTTGAAGAAAGTTTGTACTGGACAACTAAAAAAAAACAGTATAAGTAATAATCTGAATTGCGCAATAAAAAAAGCAAATGTTTTAGGCAGGAAAAATGTGAGGCAAGCCACCACGGTGACACATAGGGAATTCAATGTGTAAGAGTGAGAGGTACAAATTCAGTTGGTAAGAGTGAGACAGAGTGTATATTTATTGCTATTGGTCCGATTCAAACGGGAAAAACGGTATTATGTAAAGAACGTGGTAAAGATTAACGTAGAAGAGAAAAACATGCTCAGAACGAAAAGCCAGAATGGCCTTAGCGTGTATCTTTATTGCCATTGGTCCGATTCAAACGGGAAAAAAATAACGGGAATAAAAATGTGTATAAAAATACTTTATATCAATAAAAAAATCAGTGATTTTGTATTGTAGAATCGTAACTAATGGATATTTATTTATTTCCAGAAGTACCATGGTACCCGTCGTCAACAGTTGTTTTACCGAAACCGGAACGAACGAAATCAATCGAGAAACACCAAAAGCATCACCAGAAGCATCGCGTCGTCGAAAGGAGTTTAGAGTCGCTAGGGGCGCGTGGGGGTCGCGCGACGAACCATGAGTCGGTGCCCGGCGGTGCGTCATCGCTCATGGACCACCCCGCTGTTAACGTGCGGATCTTCTTCAGCGTGGGACCGCGCCACGAGACTGCGCTCTTTCGCTCTGATACACCTTCGGATCAGATCAAAGGTAAGTGTCATCAATTTACTAGTTTATTTTCATAAAATTGTGGTACTTACTATTATTTTTAATACGGAAGAAGAGGTGGGAAGGACTGATATAACCAGTTGTTATTTTGGATCTTTCTAAATACTTTTGAGGGTATTTAGTCTTTAAAATACGTGGCCACAGAGCGGAGAAACGGGGTACTATATAATTTGCTCAAATAATTCAGCTCATGGAACGTCCGATCAACTTGTTGGCAAACATTTTCACGATATCAAACAGCCTGGTTCCTATCTAGTACAGTTTACAGATCAGATATATATTACACTTATAAATAATACTTATTCTTATAATAAAAATATACAATTATTAGTTATATTATAACTTTTTTTGTGTACTGTTTGTAGCCATAGATATTCTAGGTGGTTTTCAAAGTGGGTGCTTGAGGTCTTCAGGGCGGCGGTAGAGGGCTCAGGGGAAAATAGGGGTGTTAAGGCGGTCACATATTGAAAAATTATATTTTAATACCACTGTTTTAGACGTTTCAAATTCAAATTTTTTTAATTTTAATAAAAACAGAAATATCCTATTTGCAAAATTAATCCACTGCTACCACCTGATTAAGCGCTTCTATCAAATCCAATCGATTAAGCATTTTCGATTTATGGATCCGCAAACTTAGATATCATTAGAATTTGAATTCATGATGTGGTTAGTAGATAATTGGGAAGTTCTAGAAACTTTGCTTCTACGTAATGCATAGTGGTATCGAACTTCGGACAACTTCGCGAACTACTAACTTTTAACCACGTAAAACAGATAAATAAACAGTTTCTCAATGTATGGGTTTGACATAGATAAAAAAAACGAGATTATTTATGTATTTATTTGGTTAGAAAATTATAGAAAGTAAGTAGTAACTGCTTGTTATGTATACTACTAATATACAATGATTTTCTATAGAATGACAGCTGTTTTCAACTTCTGGTACATTGTTATGTTGTATGGAGTGATAATACACTATAACTTAAACGATCTATTGTTTCCCCTTTTCTCTCGCCTGATGCCTATAACGACCCTTCCAATCCTATCCTCTCAAGGAAATGTAGGAGTTGGAGTGGCTTCAAGTTAGGTAGATTATATTTGGTATGCTCCTAAATATAGTGCCCTTAGATTCTGGAGTGCTACACATTCAGTCAGAATGTGAATGGATGTTTTGTCTTCTACTACTCTCGGTTTACTAAGAGTCAGCAATATCCAGTAAGGATCCATGTTACAATGCGTAGCCAGTTAAAAAGTGACTTTTTTACTTATGTAATTAAGATCAAAAATAAGAAATAATCTTTTACAGGGTAATATAAAATGAAAATACCGATACTTTCAATAATTAGAGCCAATCTTATACAACTTTTCACTGTTGCATATTTGTTAGCAAAAACTCATCACCATTCTCATTTAAAATTCACTATTAACCAGTTGTAATCTGAAAAAAATTGGCAATAATTCCTCTGTATTTGCTTGAAGAAAAGTCAACGTGTATTATATAATATGAATTTTATCTATAACAGTACAGATCGACCTTTATCCATCTGCTTGATGGATAAAATTTGCAACATCTATATAGTTACCTATTTGGAAAATCATTTTTTATTTTATCAACAACCTGTAATAGAATACTCAATCTAAAATATCTTCAACTTAATAGATGGCGAGAGGCCAAACTGGAACTGGCTAAACAAAACTACCTACGAAACTTAATTAACTTTAGATAAACTTATCATGTTACTTGACCAAGAATCTTCTTAACAAAATTTTATTCCTGTAATCTAGATAAACATAATATGGAATAAAACAAATTTAAAGAAAAATAAAATAAAAAGAAAGGATTTTCCAATACTCTTAAAATTCTGAAATTATACGACATGCTGTTACATTACTCCCGTTTTTAAGTCTTAAATTATGCGAAAATAACTTACATTTCCGCAGTAAAAATAACTCGTGCGGCGCTTGCTAAATCATCTCGTAAAATTCCGTCTTTAATCTGGCAATTTGCGAGTTTTTCCAGCGAAATGAAAACGTTTTGTGTGAAACTGCTGCAATTTGTACATTTATTATAGGTAAAATTAAAGATGCTTTTTAAATTAGGTTATAATAATTATTTTCTTCTTTTATTTTTTCTTTTATTTTTTTCTTCATCCTCTTTCTCTTCATCTTCGAGTTTATCTTGTCTTTTGAGGTAAATATTTATTGTTCTTTCGTACTCATTTTTCCCAAGTTCATCGTTCACTTGTCAATGTCATCTATCTTTCTTTTTTTTGTCCTATTTTCTTATTGGTTTTTTCTCTTTGTTTCTTAGCTGGTTTTCCTCTTTTTGAAACTGTTCTTGTTATTCTGTATCTCTTTATTCTTAACAAGTATCCATACCATTTTACCAGGATTCTTACGTATAGTTTGAAGCTGTTTTGGGTCATATAATATATATAGAGCTCTGTAGTTATCGCACTCGGTTCGTCTTCCCTTTTTATATATAGATATTACAACATTACTTTCACATTTTTTGCAATCTTTTGTTTTTGTCATGTTAATTTGCATATAGCCCATATCCACTCTTCCTTGGATTATTTCTGAAACCATGTCATCTTTCTCACCTACCATTCATATTTTCAATATTACTATGGTTTCTATTTATTTCTTCTTCTTGTTCTAGTCCGCCATCTTTATTTTAATTTACCTCGGAATATACTTTTCACCGCCACTTAAAAACAATATTATAACTTGTACAAATTCCCTCCACACCTACCTAAAACACCCGTTTGCGGTTTCCATTGTCCTCATCGGACTCCAGACTCCATTTGGAAATAATCCTTTTGAGTTGGCAACTTCGCGGCGACGACGAGATGTTGAGATATTTATCTTTGTTGACAGTTGGAAACTTAGCCACTCTTTCACAGGTCTGGAGGAAGCCACGACACCATTGTTTTTCGTGGATAAATGCCAGAAGAACAATAGTGGAATCGTAGAAAGAGAGAGCGAATGTAAATAAATTTATAATCGGAATACTTTGTGAAAACAGAGTGTTATTATACTGAGGTCTTAAGGAAAAAAAACAGTTATTGTATAAATTAATTATTCTGGCTTTTCGGTCGTGAAATAAGAATGTCAGACAATAAATGAGAGATCATAAAATAAATTATACTATTATTTATTAGCAAACAATAATAGTATAAACTTTTAAGTACCAATTTTTAGACATCAGGACAGATATATCTAAGGGGGTTGCAATAAGGAGTCTCTTCTTCGCTCCTCGACATTCTGAACGAAAGTCGCTTTAAGCTTTACAATTCCAACTTATTTGGATAAGAACGTATGTACATTCCACTAAAATACGCAGGACATTATTTCTAAGCTGTTTGCCGAAGAAAAAGTTGAGGGATAAAGAGAAAAGTATTTCATGTTTGTTTAAAGTTTTATGGTTACCGTAAAATCTGCCAGGTGCTGTCGTCTTAAATATATTCGTTTAGACCGACATAAAGCCGCAAGCAGACAGTAGAACTTCATGTGTTATCTTTATTTAAGAAATATAGTGAAATGAAAAGCGTATTTTAAACTGTATATTTCCATTATTAAAATAAAAATAATGGTCTTGCGCTTTCGACAATTACGTCATCATCATGATTTCACACTCATTGTAGATAAGCACTGAAGATGGCCGAAACCATTTTGCTCATTTTAAAATAAATTCTGCAACTGCCAAAAATAACCTTTTATAATTTTTTCCAGAATATTAAATGATAAATTGTACAAATGTTTTTAATTTAATTTATACTCGATAAAAGTTTATTCTAAATCTCTAATTATTCTAAATTACTTGAAATTCCCAATTTTAAATGATTTATTCAACAAATGTATGAAAAATTATTATTAAATAAAAATTTAACTCAAATCTTTTAAATAATATTGTTTAAAAAATGTTCCCTACTTTCTTACACTCTGCTCGTCTGGACAGATAAATACTTACTCAACTCTGAAACAAAGACGTCCAAAGAGTGTTCATCTACAAATAATTATAAAATCCACTATCACTACAACAAACAAAAATAAAGAAATTTAAGTAAAATTAGTTTAGGACCTAATTTTGCAGTAAGAATGTCTTAGATGAGGTTATTATCTTAGTTCCTAGACAATCTCTATATACAAAATAAGAATAAAAAAAATTTTACTAGTAAAAATTGGTTCCAATATAATTAGTATTTTTTTAAATTATTTATAAAAGAATAACTGGTTTTATTTCTGTTCTAATAAGTGAAAAATAAAAGTAAAACTCACAAGATATCAGAGATTTTTATTTTATCACTACAAGCATTTAGAGATACGTTCGAAAAAAGTTAAAAGAAACACAATACCATTCTTTTGCCTAATTTGAGGAGGCAACTGAGCAGTTCTTTGATGTAACTTTCAAATTAAAATGCGACGCCGGACGACTGGGTCCTTTTTTCAATTTATTAGGGTGGATAAAAATTTGGGCCCTTTGTAAATTTGAGACAATGAAATTTCGTTAGCGTCCTATTCTTTTTCCTGCTTTTACTTTTAGGAAGGTATCAAATTTAAAATTGGTATAGAAATCAACAATTTTTCTAATACAATCTTTTAAATAACACTTTAATACAATATATGATCAAATACAGGGATAATCGTTGTAAATTCAAAAAATTAAAATCAAAGTAAATCTGGCTTAATAATAAATTAATTTATGTTGCCCTAAAATATGTCAGTCAGATATTTAAGAGGAAAATATAGTAAGTAAAATTTTATTAATTTTAATTACCTTTGTTTAAGTTAGATTCAAGTATTTTATAGCTGTAAAAATATATTGAGGTTCTTAAGGATGCATTTAATGAGTTTGTTCTTTCATGTACTGCTCTTGATTGCAAAAACAATTATTACTAATGTTTTAATTAAACTATTACCAGTCTTTATTTTGGTTTTGTTTTAAATATTCCTGAAATTTTAGATTTTTGGAATGG